AAGTTTCTTGATTTAGGTCATAATCATCGTCTTCATAATCACCTTCTTCATCCTCTTCCTCCTCATAATCCTCACATTCAGGTAAAGGCTTCAAGACATTTAAAGAAGTATCAGGACTGCCATTTTCAATAACGTTTTCAATAACATCTTCTGGTATGCTTACAGGAATTTCAGTGAATTCAGCCACATGCTCAGGGGTGACTTCTTGGTTTCCAACACTGGAAGCAGTAAGAGTCCCTACTTCTAAATCTTTACTATCAGAATTTCCATTTTCAAATGAAATGGAAGAATTGGAACAATTTATTTCTTCCAAAGCAGTGATTTCCTGATCGTCCTGTTGAGCTGCAGCAATTTGCTGTCTCTGCATCTTCTTAACATGATTCTTTAAATGCTTCTGCATAAGTCCTCTGTTTCTAAATTTTCTACAACATATTACACATGAAAAACTGCCTTTTTTCTGATGAGCCTGAGCATGCCGTACGATGTGACCACCTAGAAATTCCTTGTTACATAACATACACCGATGCCTTGGGACACTGTGATCTACTTTGGAAGTATTAATAGCTATAAGGTTTTTCTTTGTATTAATATGACCTTTAAACTGTGCTCCAGATGGATCATCAAGATCAGTCTCCCCAGTGCTCTGATCTGTAAGAGAGTCAGGCGCTTCATTTAAACTTTGCTGTTCCACTGTCCTTTTTAGATTACCTGTAGAATTTTCCAGTGTACTTTCATTTAAAAATCTAACTGCTGATTTATCACTCAGTAATGCTATACAGTTTTTCTTAATCATTATGAAGTTCCAGAATTCAGGATCAAAAAACAATCCCTTTTTCAAAATTGGAAGTAATTCAAAACGAACACGGTTTTGAACACTACTTGTGCCTTCATTATATTCTTCATCTGGACGTTTGTAAAGCTCTTCAACAGTATGATAAGCATCTAAGGAGCGCTCAAGAAAGAATATTGAGAGTGCACAAATCCTGAGGATCTCCAAATCATTAGGCAAAAAATGTGCAATTGTTTTATAAATTAGACATTTAGTTTTGGGATCATCATGAAGGTCGAGTTGTAGAGCACAACCACATATCTCAACACAAATTTGCAAGCCTTCTTCTTCAACCTGTAAAAAGAAAAGTGTTACTACTAAATACTTTTAAAAAAATATGATTACAATAGCTGTTTTTTTTTTTNGAAAAGTGTTACTACTAAATACTTTTAAAAAAATATGATTACAATAGCTGTTTTTTTTTTTTTAAATACAACTCTGAAATGAAAGTTGATAAAAACACAGTGTTCCAAAGTTCAGTTGGCAGCCTGAAATCTTTAAATATAACTAATATATCCTTTTCTTTTCTTTTTTTTTTTTAACTTGAGAATAATCTGGAATGGATAGCATTCTGGCTTCCAATTTATTTAATTTGCAAGTTTGACAAGCCTTATTAACCATAATATAAGGTGCTTCATAAACTTATGGTGATTAAAATTTCTTGCAAATCTAGACCCCCATTTATAATTTTAGGTACTAATCTTACATTCTTCGGCAGGAAGGTTAAATTATATGTATTTAAATGGATTTATCAATTTTCCATGTTAAGACATAACTAGATTTTTTTAAAAACTGCTTACAGAAACTTATAATGCTATACTAATTAATCTTACTTATTTTACTTACTAAGTAATATTTTAATCCAAAGAAGGAGGAAATGTGGCCCACATGAAGAGGACATTTGCAATCTTTCCAAATCTAATAAGGTATAAGAATAATGAGCCTACTGGAAATTATCTGAAAATTACTCAAGCTTTGAAACTGTTACTGATAACTCAGAGATGACTGTATCAGCTTTTACTTGGGAATCTGTTGTCAATCCATCTTAAAGTGATAAATCATGCTCTTAGTGGTTTCGAATAATCTAAATGCTTGTTTGAACAGGAGTTACCATAATAATGTCTTTAAAATCACATTTATGTACACGTATATTCATCATACTCCCTTCATATGGCATATTGTAGATTACAGGGAGGAACACTACCTTGCAAGCCTTATGTCTTCTTAGTCCCTTACATTCTGTGTAAACCTGCTGAACTACTTACAGTTCCATAGGCAGATCTTAAACTTTGCACATCCTACTCCCACTTTATCTAGCTGATAAACTCCTACTGATCTCCTATTCTTTCTCTGAGAACCAATTCTAGCCTGAAGGTTTTTTCTCCTCATCTATTCTGGCCTCTGCCCTGAGGTACAGTTAAACACTTCCTATTCCTTCCATTGAGAATAACTTACACTTATTTCTACAAAGATTTTCATATTGTTTTATAACTATCTGTGTATGCCCCCACCCCTAACTTGGAATTCCTAAATCACAGGGGACAGTTTCTCATTTTTTGTATCCCCTATGGTTACCATAGAAGTAGGTGCATAGCGATCTCTAAGTAAATGTTATGCAGAATGAATGGGAATCAAATCTATTCCACTAACTTTAGTTTGCCCCTATAAATCCATCATCTCCAGCTTGGAATCCTTTCTGAATTCATATTCCTAAATATCTATTACAATTGGATTTTTCCACTTAGATTCTCCAGATATACCAAATACCAAATTCAAAATCCACTGGTTCAAAACAGAATTTCTCTTTCTCCCAAGTTCTATCTG